AAGTTTGTCTTGTTAATTCTTGTTGCTTATTTTCCACTATTTCACTTTGCTAAGCCAACTACAATCAAGCGCAGCTATTCCGCTGCAATTCGCTTGATCATGTGGTTGTTGGTTTTGTTGGTTTTTGTTAATATTTCTATTATTAGAATGTTTAACTTTTAGGTGTGCTCGTCCTTAAGTAATTGCAGCGGAATAGCTGCGCTTGATTGTAGTTGGCTTTCTTGCAAGATCTTTCAAACTATCTCGCCTACTGTCCTTCAATTGTCCTACAAATTCAAGCCTTAATCTTTTATTCAATTTTAAAAAATCTGAAAATTTTTATACACTCCGGGCCAAGCTCGGCCACCCTGGTACTTTTCATTTAATCGCCAATGGGAATTGAACTATCATGATGATTCTACTCCACCAAGCGCGAAAGAAGCGTTGTGTGCAGCCAGAATTAATTTTCGCAACAAATCTAGAGTAAACAGTCATCAAAAACTTTCCCAACACGCGTGAACTTTTGCACTCCGTAACGTCGTTCTCCATACATACATACATACACGTACATCAATCACACCGTTAAACATACAAAGTAAAGAGGAAAATCTCCACAACAGCTACACGTATAATGAAAATATTAATTAGCGTAAAAAGAATAGGTAAGCGAGAAGCCTGGGGTGCTGCGTGGCGGCACTCGACGCAAGCTAATTTCTAGCTGCTAACTCAACTTTTCAACAGCACATGCACGCATGCATCTTTCACATTACAATTGCAACATGCTGCCAAAAGAGCGCTTTCGTTTAGGTTGTTGTTCTTATTCTTGTTCTTGTTCATGCTTTCCGACGGCACGTTCACGTGTGCAAATGCAACACCAGCAAGCACAGACAGGCAATCATCGAGACGTCATCAAAATAACCGCAGCCGCTATGTGCAGACATACTACTACATTAGCACAACAACAAAGAACACATCTAACCACAAAATTTATGCGCCAACTTTGCAATTCTGTTTACTTATTGCATAATACCCACAAGTCTGTCATTCTGTCCATACATCGGGCATCCCAACTCTTCTAGATTGGCCACAACATCATCAATCTGCGCCTAGTCAACTTTCGCCGCCTCCCAACTTGTGTATCAGCGCGCCCGCCAGCTCAACATCGCCAGCGCCCAGTTAACGTGCCACAGGCTAACCAGGCGGTGGGTCGTTCGGTCGCCTTCTTATTTAGCCCAAAAATAAAACTAAAGTTGGCTGGCGCACTTCTGTTTATATTTCGTGTCTGCAACTAATTGGAAAAACATTTGAAAAATGAAATCAAATTTAGAAATATCTAAAAATATCCCAAACTCGTAGGCATAATGCTTTTGAATTGCAGTAGCCGCAACGTGTACGCAGCAGCTGCAATAAACCAACAGCAACAGCAACATCAACGGGAGTACCTAAATAAGTACAAGTAAAGCAATACTGACAAAGTTTGGGTGGCTGTCGCCTGCAGAAAGCCGACAAATGGCTGGTGGTTAGGTGTATTGCGGCAATGCGTCTGCTTCCATTCACCTCACAGTTTTGGCTATGTACTCCTGCCTCGCATCATAACAAATACCGCCCTTACTTCGTTCGCCGCGGTGGGCGCGGTGGGCGCAAAGGCTGTTTTTGTTGTTTTTTTTTTTTTTTTTGGCTGGGAGCTCGCTCGCTCGTCGACAAATTTCCTCAAGCATTGTTGATTTGCATACCGAATTATTACCCAAAAATAGAAAAGTGTAAGCAACCTCGAGGCGTTGGTTGTTGTTATGGCTGCTTTGCTGCAGTTTGGGATATGTAAATAATTCAAGTGAATACCTCAACATGTCCAGCGTGGATGATGAGCCTGGGTAGAGTCTTGAGGTGTATGTATTTGCGTGTATTTATTTTCGTTGTGTTGAGCTAGCGCATCCATCCTCATGTGTACTCTGCGTGTTGAATAGTTCATTTGAACTTATGCTCTGTTCATAGTTCATACATAGCGCATACTCTACGCAACGGTAATTTGGCTATAATTTGATTTTAATCACTCGAGTTTAGTGCGCTGAGTGTAATAAATTACAGCTGCCATTAATCAGACAGTCAGGCTATTTTTGTATGGTTTATTGCTGCATTGCATTGGCGTCGAAATCGACGTGGGTCTCAATGAGGTATCGAGTTGATCGTATACCAAGTTTCTTGAAAGAATGCTGTGGGGGATGAAAGTGATAAATTTGCCCTTGACCAGTCAAAAGAATTTGAAAAATGTTTTCACAATTCTCCAAACATTTTTTTAGAGTGCTTAAAGTTGAACTCTCGTAAATTTTTTTTACACTGTGCTAAAGTTGCTACCGTTTGGCCAAATACCCTATTTTTTAACACCTAAGCAGCAAGCAATTTTTTCTGGAATATTCTAGTTAACCCATTTACTTGTAACAGAACTGCTTTGGTTGAGCATTTTTAGGTAGAAGTTTCATAAAATATCCTTTAAAATGGAAGGGATAAAATGTTCTTTGAGTCGCTGAAGACTAAATTTATTCTACAAAAAGTGGAAATTTAAACTACTTTAAAACAACTCTGTTGAAGGAAATTTATCTTAGAGGTTGTCTACCAGAAGGCTGGCCCTCCGATCGGAAAATATGATGTTTTCATCTACACCGATGTGAAATGTTTACGATGGAAAGGGCTACTTCTCTAATACTGAGAGTATCATGACTCTTAGAAGGAAATCCCCAATCTAATACTAATCTTCTGGTCTTAGGATTCCCGCGCCCCTGGGATATTTAAGAGACAAAAGGTTAACTGGACTATGAGCAGTGAGAAGTCGCTCAAGTTTCCCCTCACCGACCATATTTTCCATGCGACTCTGCTCCAGGAGCATATTCGCTAGTTGCGCCATCCAGGGGCACAACCCCAGAGCTGGAAGAGTGGTCAGAGTGACATTTACATCCTGAAAAATGTCTCACAACTTCCCCAGGGATTTCAGATCAATCAGGCTCTCAGCGTTTTTTGCTTAAAGCTCTGGATAAGCTGATCGCCCTGGATATTAGGAAGGGTATCCCTTCCGATCGCCTGTAGGGAGCTCAACATGTATACATCAAGCTAGGGTCGGCCGAGACCGCCTTACTTACAATTGTGAGGTCTATTGAGGAACCATAACTAGAAAAAGACTTACACTGTGGGTGCCTTTCTCTATATCGAGGGGTCTTTAACAATGTAGTCAGATGCCCGAGTAAGGTTAGGGTCAAAGCTGACCTTGTTAGGCAGAGTTGTCACGACGGAGTGGGGTGTTGTCACCCTCCAGCGCTGGATAAATTAGCGTGGACCCCAGGTGTCCTCTCACCCCTTCTCGGGATGGTGGTCGTAAATGACCTATTAGAGGAGTTTGCGAGTAGGGTATTGGGTGATTACCTTAGCGGATGTTGTGGTACTTTTAGTGAGGGGCAAGTTTTTAGATACTCGCTACGACTTGACTCAAGGATATTTCAACCCGGTGACTATATGATGTGCGAACTGTGAACTTTCCGAATTACTTTTGCTCGCTAGGAGGTGTAAGGTTCCCCACGTCAGTGCTCCCTCTTGGCATTGATTATTGATAGGAAGCTATCGTGGAAGCGTAGTGTCATGGAAAGATAAAAAAAGGCTTAAATGGCTCTACGCAGCTACAGAGGGCAATAGGCAAGGTATGGGCCCTTTCTCCCAAAGTTATTTCCTGCCTATATTAAACCATAGGTAAACCCATTATGTTTTATGGAGTCCTTGTTTGAAGAAGGCTATGTTAGTAATTACGCAGGAGCGATTGAATAGAGTTGCCCTCATTGGAATCAGTGGGGCACTTAGGAGCATCCCACCTTAACGTCATGTTGTGGTGGAAATGAGAGGAAGTTTTGTGGAAGGGTCGGTGGAGGGGTGTTTTCCAGGAAGCCGTAATTAAAGGCTATCAGATCATTGTAGTATGTTTAAGGCGGAAGGTGCTGTTATTAAGGGAAGCGGCGATCAGAGTCCTGCGCTGGCTTACGGTGCGTCGAAATATTACCTTATCAGACTTGAACAGGCCAGAGGTACCACCCTCGAGGTAATATCTCCAAGAAAAGTTAGTCCTTTGACTCTTGGAAAGATAGGCCTCGGGTCAACTCAGCAAATGCTGGAGGAAAACCAGGGCATGAGCTACTGTGAGATCATTCTTATTGAGGGAGGACCGGGGATGGTATAAGAATCTCATTAGGCTCGCGAAGCCAGATCTCGCGATTCTGGTGCATGTACTGACGGGCCACCGTCCTATCGGGGTTCAAGCAGTGAGATTATACCCCCAGACCCTTTCTGTCGCAGCTGCATGGAGGACGACGTGGAATCACCTCAGCACCTCCTGTTAGAGCAAAAAAGGCAAACGCTCCTGGTCCAAGCGAGCCCCTTGGCAAGGAGAATCCTAACCTATGTAAGCTAGCCCAATCCTCTGGTCCGTTCGGTCATGAAGTTCTGATTCGGATTCGGTTTGGTGTCGAAAAGTGTACGTATGGATCTACAGCTTTATTTGGCAAATATTTTTAAAAGGCGTTGCCAACTGTTTAAAAAATAAATTAAATGTAATCAGTTACTTTACAAACTATATGGATACCAAACGAAATATGTATGTTGAATAAAACCTTATTTTGAAAATTTTTTGCCACCTACAAAAATTATTTAAAAAATGTACATTGTAGGTATAAAGAGTACCGCGAAATGTAAATTATTTTTATATACTGAAATGCTACACAAGCAATGTATCGCAAGACTGTTGTCATAACACTTAACATCATGCCGCAAAATTTTGCGTTAGAAATCCACAAAGCATCTGAAATTGCGCGTCAATTTATAAAAACAAATGGAGCATATTTTTGGGCGCAGTAGTTATGACAATAGTCATGTGATGATGTTTCGCGTTATGTGGGAATAGGACAGTAATTTTTAAATAAATAGTATTAAATACAAACCGTTTAAAAGTTTTTGTTTAATCGATTTTCCCCAATTTTTTCTCCTTACAGCCACGCCATAGCAACAACAGCAATACGACCAATGATGACTCCGCACGCTCCGGTGTCGACAATGGCAATGGTGTGGCTGGCGACGCCGCTGACTCCACCACGCACGATGTCGATGGCGAACGCGTTTGGCTAGTCCATCGGGGTGGCTTTTGTGCCGCCTTACGTCTACCACAATCAACCGTGCAACGGGAGAATCACAAGGTGACCATACGTCTGCTACACAATGGCGCCGAAATGATGGTCGACGAAGATGATATCGAGAAACAGAATGCAGCAACGCTTGATTTGGTCGAGGACATTTGCGATTTGAAGCAATTGAACGAGGCGTCAGTGTTGCATTGCTTACGTCAGCGTTTCGCCAGCAATTTGATACACACGAAGGCGGGCCCCACGCTGCTCGTCGTCAATCCAATGGCACCGCTATCGCTCTACTCGGAAAAGGTATGTACATATGAAGGCAACGCGTCCAAATATGTAAAATTGCAAATGCGTTTATAGACGGTCATACGCCCTTACGCTTAGCAAATATGTTAAGCTTATAACTTATCTGGACGCGCGCTACACCATCGTCAGCCGGTATAGGCTAGTTTTGACCAGCCGCACGGAGCGTTGTTGGCGTTACAGATATGTATTTTATTTTTTATTTATTAGCATTTGAACGCTTTTGCAATTTTGCATATCTGCAATTGTTGAATTGCTTCTTTGGTTTGTTTTTATTGTGCTTGCTGATTGTTTCTTATATACAATACCTATTGCAGGTTGTTTCAATGTTTCGCGGCTGCAAGACAGAGGATATGCCTCCGCACATTTATTCGCTGGCACAGACCGCCTACAGGGCCATGTTGGAAACGCGTCGCGATCAAAGTCTAATATTCATGGGACGTTCTGGTTCTGGCAAGACGACAAGCTTCAAACACGCCTTATACTATTTGGCGTTGGCCGCCGGTATGTAGTGTGCTGTAACTGTGTGTGTGTTGGCTGCAATTGTTGCTAGTTTAGCTGCAATTGTTGCACGCTTGCTGTGAGTGGCGCGCATGTGTTTGGTGGGGTGGGCTGTTTGTGAATGCGTGGTTGATTAGCTTCGCGCTGCTTGGCTGTTTGCCCGCCGCTGGTCGCCCACCAATCGTAACGCATTCGATTTGATGCGGTCTTGACTGGCAGCTAGCCTAACTGACTCAGAATGGTGGCAAAACGCAGCGGCGCACAGTGGTGGGAGAGGCCGCTTTTTATGCGAAAAATTAGAAAGACTGTTACGATTTTAATAAAGCTGTGGGATCATAGTACTTTTGTCATGCTAAATCAGAACATCCCATAAAATTTATAGCTTTACAGTTGACAGCTGTAAGATTAACTGTCAATTTCTCTAAAAAAAATATCTGAAAATGCCTCCGAGTAGGTTCTTAGATACTTTTGTCAAGAATTTTATGTCAAATTTAAATGTTGACAGCTGTCAAATCTACTGTCATTTTCTACAAAAAAATAAGAAAATCTTTGCAAAAATGCTACTGATTAGATTTTTAGACACACTCGTCACTTCTTTTAAGTCAAATTAATACTTTCACATTTGACACCTGTCAAATCGACTATCAGTTTCTATAAAAACAAAAAAATCTTTGCAAAAATGCTACTGATTAAGTTTTTAGACACGCTAGTCACTTATTTTAAGTCAAATTAAAACTTTCACATTTGACAGCTGTCAAATCAACCGCCAGTTTCTCTAAAAATAAAACAAACTTTCTGAAAATGCCATTAATTAGATTTTTAGACACGTTAGTCACGAATTTTAAATCAAATTAGAACTATGACAGTTGACAGCTGTCAAATCGACTGTCAGTTTCTAAAAAAAATAAGAAACATTTTTTAAAAATGCTGCTGATTAGGTTTCTACACACGCTAGTTAGCAGTTTTATGTCAAATTAAAACTTTGAAAGTTGACAGTTGACAGCTGTCGAGTGGACTGTCAATTTTTCTAAAAATAAAAATGTCTTCTAAAATGCATGTTCTTAGGTTTTAAGATACGCTGATTTTATGTAAAATTTCGGCAGCTGTTAGATAAGCCGTCAAACAACTCTAGAAATAGAGAAATTTTTCAAAATAATTAAGCTTAAAATCTTGTTTAAGACCCACTGATCTTGAATTCTATATGACATATAGACTTTTTTGTTCACTACTGTCAAATCAACTGGAATTTTTCCTAAAGATCAAAAAAAAAAAATAAAAATTGCACTTTAATTAGTTAGTTGTGCGATAATTTGAGCGCCTTTTATTTAACAATCCAGTGAAACGAACCTGAAAGATTTAGGAAATCGCCGAGTATTCAAGTATAAAACGTAATATTACAATGAATAGCTTGTTAATTTTAAAAACATTTTGATCTAATTATTAATTTTTATCCTTATTTATTAGTATGTATTAGTAAAAATCCTGATGTGGATTTGTAAAACTAACCATTTTTTGGTAGAATTAAAAAAGGAAAATAATTTTTTAATTTAAAATTTTGGATTCTTAATAAATAATGAAAAAAACCTCAACTACCAAATTTCATGAAAATTCAGCAATTTTATAATTCTTGGACGCGATATTTGATTCGCTATTTTACATTTTTGAAAATTTACGTCATATTTGATAAAAAATATATGATGATAAAATTGGCCTAGTGAAATAACAATGGCCACCACTTTTTAACCGACTTCCAAAAAAGGAGGAGGTTATCAGTTCGTCGGAATATTTTTTATTTGAATTTTTTTTATTTATTTTTATTTTTTTTATGTATGTTACCGCATAACTTTGGACCACGTCAACCGAAAGGTAGTGTCTCAGGGGTGGCCCCATACTAATCTGGTTAAGATCCGATCAGTGGATCATGAGATATATATATATATATATTTTTTATATGAGAGTTGAAGTCGGTTTTTGCTAAAAATTACTTGTTTCATTAAAGGATCCTTTTTATTAGTTATACCTCTTTTGGAAAATATTTCTTTCAAAATAAGCAGTGTCATTATATATATCTGTAGGATAATTCTGGATGAATTTTTATTGTGTAATATTTCAAGTTAAATCATCATTTTCTAAGTTTAAAAAGTACCTCCAAACACAATATTGATTTGTAAAACTCTGTGCACAACTTGAAAAAGCATTCGGTGCAGCAGTTACATACATACATAAAGGTTTGATTTAATTTTATTTATTTTGTCAGGTCCAGTACACGACTTCTACTTCAGGATTGTTTCAGGGTCATTCAGTGACTGGTTTTGAACTACCGCAGTAATGATACCGAACTACATACTTACTTATCAGATTTTTCAATAAGAATGCCTTAATTCCGATTTATGACTATTTTTAAATATACATACCTTTTTCGCGCAAAACATAGCCCCTAGCGACCACTGTGCGGTGGTGACTTTAAGTTTTATCACCTTATTTATTTATTTTTTATAGTTTGGGTGCAGTAATTAATTCTTTTTTGCTTGTCACCAATTTGCATGCCAATTTCAGTTTTTGCGCCTTTGGCTTTTTTTAGCATACTTACAAGCACACTATGTTATACATATGTAGGCAAATATTTGTTTAAATATTTACTTTTGCAACTCTTTACATTCTTCTACGACTGGTGTCTATGAGCGTTCGATTCATTGTGTGCTTAAAAACTTGAAAAAAAAACACCGTAAACCTTATTTCTATTAAATTAAAGAATTTTCATTTAACTTGATTGCCATTTGTTTTGGTTGTGGGCGCATGCGCGCCAAATTCCGCTGTAAAGGCTGCGGCGGTATTTTCGCCGTTATTGGGTTACTTATGTACTTTTTATCTATAGCTGCTCATTGCATACATTTGAGGTCAGCATTAATTACGTATGCTTATTCACTGCACCCACAACTGTATCGCCACACACGAATTGTGTTCTTGGTTTTGATTAATATTTGATTTAATAATAATCGCATTTATGCCTCGGGCCTTCGGGCTCTAATCGTAAGTGGTACCAATTTATGTGTCACAACAATAATTCTTGTCTAGCCAGAAGCGTTACATTTGCAATTATTCGGTGGCATGATGACGCCTGTATTTTTGTGTGGAGCTATATTTGAAAAAGAAAAATAGTATAATTAAGTAAGTAAATAAATTTCTAAAAATTAAAAAAAAAAATTCTTTTTAAAATAATGTAACATATGTAAGAAGAAAATTAAATCAAATTAAAAAATTAAATAACTCCCTAAAATAAAATGATATTAAAAAAAAAAAAGATTTTTCTTAAAAAAAAAAATTAATACAAATAATAAAAAAGAAAATAAGTTTCTAAAAGTTTAATGAAATTAAAAAAAAAAAAAAATTTTCTTTTTAATTAACAATCCAAAAATTTAAAATCAAATTGAATTAAAAAATAAAATAGAATAAAAAAAACAAAATAAGTTCCCAAAAATGACCAAGTCTTAAAACTGTCCCAAAAAGATCACTTATTAGTCCCAAAATTATCCCAAACCAGTCCCAAAATGTTCCTGAAATAGTCGAAGTATGCCGAAATGGTTGTGAAATAGTCCTGAACCAGTCCCGAAATTTCAGTCCCAAAATGAACCCGAAATACTCATCAACTAATCTGAAATGGTTGAGAACTAGTCCCAAAATGGGCCTGAAATAGTTGTAAACAAGTCCGGAAGGTGTCTGAAATAGTTCCGAACTGGTGCAGTCCCAGAATGGCCCTCAAATAGTCGTTAACAGACCCCGAATCGGTCGAAAGATTCGTGAACTTGTCCCGAAATGATCTCGAAAAAGTCTTGAAACGGTCGCGAAATGGTCGCTTATTAGTGCCAAAATTATCCTGAACAAGGCCCAAAATGGTTCTAAAAAATTCTGACTAGTTGTGAAATGGTCCTGAACTGATCCCAAAATGGTCCTCAAATAGTCGAACCAGTGCCGAAATGGTCCTGAACAGGTCATGAAATGATCACGAACTACGCCTTAAATGGTCCTGAAATAGCCCTGATCTAGCCCAGAAATGTTCATTTGTACACACTAGAATTAATTACAGATTTTTACACATAAAAAAATATAAACAAATCCTCCTTGTCGACAATACGAACTTATATTGCAATTCGATGTCATAACTCAAATGAACGCGACTTCGAATTTTCATATTTTCATGCTATGTTTAAGGATATGTCCATTCTTCAAAGGCTCTATTGTAAAAAATTGTTTGAAGGCACATAGCTATCTCAGCTCTTGTAATGAAACTGCGTGATTGCTCTTCTTTCTTTAAGTACTTCTCTTTTTAAAAATATCTTATATGTCCTTAATAATAATACATTAAATTTTCAACGTCTTCCCCACGCTCTCCAGGCTCCTACAATAATTTTCTGAATGCCGAGAAGGTCAACTCTATCAACATCATTTTAGAGGCATTCGGTAATACAAAAACCTGTCTCAACGCGAATGCCACGCGCTTCACACAGCTACTAAGCTTAGATTTCGATCAAACTGGGCAAATTGCCTCCGCTTCGGTGCAGGTACCAATTATTGCATAAAATTCCCATACAAAATCAATGCAACTAATCAAATAAAACTTTTATATTTATATAGATACTGCTGCCCGAGCGTCAGCGCGCCGGTCGTCGGCAACCCAACGATCACAGCTTCCATATAATGTGTCGTCTGCTCGCCGGCGCCGAAGGTTTGCTGCAGAAAGAGTTGCATTTGGACAACATTTCCGCGGCCGATAATCATCCTTTCGTTTCACTGTCGCAAAAATTAGAGGAGCGTCATCGCGCAGGCGCTGAGTTTATGCGCACCACACAGGCATTGGAAGCGCTGAATATAGAACCGAAAGCGGTGCGTGGCATTTGGAGTATATTGACGGCCATTTATCATCTCGGTTTGGCTGGCGTTACAAAACGTGAGTGCAGTCGCTTATTTATACGAATTTCCGTTTTTTGTTTTTTTTTCGATACATTCACGCTTACTTTTTCAGTCAATGCTGGTCCGGCCTCGCGCGTACAGTTCGCCAACCCATCAGCCGCACGCCGAGCTGCTGGCCTACTCGGCGTGTCTATGGAGGATTTAACGGCGGCGGCTTTCAATGTCACTGGTCCTGGTGGTGGCGGCGGCACGAGTCCTTCGAAATCGCCTACCGACAGCACTGAGCAAGCTTGGGAGTCGCTCGAGGCGCTTGCCGTGGGTCTGTATTCTGAGGCTTTAGCTGCTGTCGTGGCGTTGATCAACAAAGCCATTTGCACCTCGGCGCACACAATCGCTTCTATTATGCTTGTCGATACGCCTGGCTTTCAAAATCCAGCCAGCTGCGGTCTGCAAACGGGTGCCACACTCTCCGATTTACGTCACAACTACCTACAGGAGCGCCTGCAGTTGCTTTTCCATCACACCACTTTGGTAGCGCCGCGTGACCGCTATGCGCAGGAGCTGGTGGAGATCGATACCGAGGGCATGCCAGAAACACATCCTGGCCCGTTGGTCTCACTCATCGATAAGGCGCCACAAAATCATGTAGTGCGTTCGTCACAACGTGATTTACGTGAACACGATCGTCGCGGTCTGCTGTGGCTGCTCGACGAGGAGTCCATGTATCCCAACTGCAACGATGATACATTCCTGGAGCGCCTCTTTGCGCACTACGGAGATCGTGAGCATCAGACGCTGTTGCGCAAGTGCTCCGGACCCAAACAGTTTGTGCTGCAACACCTGCAAGGCACCAATCCCGTGCTATACACTGTCGATGGTTGGGTGCGGCATAGCCGTGAGCACCCCGCCATACGTAATGCAGTGACACTGCTGCAGGACAGCTCCCGCGATGAGATCAGCCGGCTGTATATTGGTTCGTTGACGCGTGGCGCTGGTGGTATAGTATTTTGCGGCTCCATAGCTGGGCTGGAAGGTACACAATCGTTGCGTCGTGTCTCCAGCATTCGACGCTCGTTCACCTCCGCTGGCGTGAAGCGTAATTCCATAATGTTGCAAGTGAAATTCACCGTGGATGGCATAATCGACACGTTGCGGCGTACAGGCACGCATTTTGTGCACTGTTACATGTTGCAACACAATGCCGGACAGCATAGCAGTTACTCGGCGAGTGGGTCGCCAAATGCAGCGGCGCTGCAATCGAGTAGCGAGGACATGGTGAATGTTCCTTTGTTGCGTAGTCAGGTGAGTGAAGTTGGCATGGCATTTGTGTAATTTATTTCAATGCATTCGATCTGTTATAGTTGCGCGGTTCACAAGTGCTCGAGGCGGCACGATTGCATCGTTTGGGCTTCCCAGAATCAGTTCCTTTGGCCGAGTTTGTGCGTCGCTTTGGCTTGCTGGCTGGTGTTGATACCACTGGCGCCAATGATATAACCATAGAACAAATATTATCCGCTAACGAAGTGGACACTGCCACATACCGTATCGGTCCTAGTCAAGTAAGTGGATTGTTTTTCGTCATTTGCTTTCATACTAATAGAAAAGAGGTTGCAATTGAAATCTTGGCAATAAACCAGTGCGACTGGGTATTTCCGTCTCTCCTTAAATGTAAAATTAGTGAGGTAAAAACAAAATTCGCGTGTCAGAAAAGCGATTTTCTTCTAATTAGTTTTTGAATTCATTAACCTATATTTTGAAATTAGAAATTTTATCAACTCTTAAGTTTTTTAAATTAAGAATACACCGCTTAAGCTTATCGGAGCTCGAATTACTGTCCTATATAGTTTGTGTGCTCCCGCGCACGTTGCATAAACTAATTCGCCCATTTTCCATTTGCTTGCGCGCCATTTGCATTAGGAATAGAAGTTGTATTAATCCAAATAGAATATTATGAGGGTATCGAAAATTGCCAAAGCCAAATAAATTTTAGTCAACACTTATACAATGAACTTACAGATTTGGAATTTTAATATCTTACTAAACTCAACTAAAACTTTCTGGAGCTAAAAAAGTGCAAGACAATTTTGAAAATAGCTAAACAAAAGAGCTAGGAGCTAAAGCCGAATTTTCGGGGCTAAAAAGAAAAATAAAGAGCTAAATCGAGCTCCAAAAGCAACAAAATGGCAACACTGGATGCCATGATTCGGGCCCTGATATCAGACATAACTACATTAAAATTTTTTTAATGATTTCAAGAAATTAAAAAGGAAATCTAGACTTCTAAACAAAACTGAGGCGTAGCGTAACCTAAGTAAATATATAAATAACGTTTACTTATAATGAGATGAGCGGTTGATTGTTGATAGAAATCTCATGAGCCCCAATATTTTATTTTTTAATATTTCTTCCTATGTTTTACTATGAATACTGTACACAACTCAATTCGCCCTTGTTGCCTTGAAGAAACAGAAACAGCATATAAGTTTTTCTGCTTCTGAACCAGCTTCGAAAGATTTATACATATTTATGTACATTAGGGTGGTAAAAAAAAAAGACGATCACACCCCACAAAAAATCTGTACCAAAAAAAAAATTATATTCCTTTTTTTGAAATAAAAAAATATTTAGAGGTCGCTGAAAGTTTTCCATGTATTTTATATGGGGGAAAACAAGTTTTTGTAGAAAAGCTATAGAATTCTGGAAAATCAATGTTTTTCGATCCGAAAACTTTGTTTCTCTTCAGGAGACAAGTTTTTATTACTTACGGTTTTTTACTGGACCCCTAAAAACTTCAAAAATGCAATGGGGGAACCGATAAAAATCGATAGTATTTAAATTCCAACTACTTTTTTTGCATGCATTTTTGGGCCACACTAATGTGCATATATGGTGGCTTTCGACAGGTCGCAACCATAACTTTTTTCAGATGTTTCTATTTATTTGAAAATTAGGTTCTGTATTGAATGCTGGATTAAGTGACACGCACGTTAAGGCTTCCTCGCCCACCTCCCATACAACGGTATTTTTCAAAAATACAAAAACTACGATATTTAAGTAAATACTAGAACCAAATTGTTGAAAATTGGAGTCTGAAAAAGAATTTTGCATAAAATACGAAAGTTAGGGAAATTTATGGAAGCTGCTTCACTCAAAATCGATGTTTGCAATAGCCTCTTAGTAGTAAATGAAGTTATCAGAAATTTGTAGAAAATGGGCGTGGCAGCGCCCACTTATGACTACAAAAGTTTATCTCAGTAAGCGCTTTACAGACTTCCACCAAACTCGGTACAATTATTTCATTAAGTCTAATTGAGAATTATATCGAAAATGTTGGAAATCGAGGAAAAAGCGATATTAAATACGTGCTCCGGGTATATGAAGTTCGGTTTCGCTTGTTTTTTAATGACTTGCTTTTAGTTTTTATTTTAAATATGTTTAGGGCCATAATGCAAGGAATATTATTTCAAAACTTTTTTTCGTACTTGCCTTGCCATTGAAAGGGCTAAGACAAGGCGAATTCATATAAGGTGGTGTTCTTTCATCAGCAGTGAATAGCGTGCGATTGAAATTTTGTTCGTCAGTGAGTGAAAACGTGCGAGTGTTTGTATTTTCTGTCGCACTTTTTACTTCGGGGAAGAATAGCTGAGATTTGACAATGACCAGAAAAAGCCAAAAACAATATACAAGTAATTTTTTGTTTGTTTGTTGAATCGATACCACCGTATATGAATTCATCTTGGGTTAAGAACGATTAATTCTTTTTATTTTTTATTTATTATTTTTTGTGCAAACGCTTGTTGCAATGCCCTGTTTTAAATAAAAAGAAAGTACATGTACGATTAATAAATGTTTAAGTCAATTAGTAACAGCTATATTAAGTTTGGTACTATTCGATTTTAGACAACTCAGCTTTGGTTAATTTTTTAGCTCTTTATTTTATTATTAAATTGTATAATCAGATATTTTATAATATTTGTACATGTAAACAACTGTGGCGGAACGATATAATCGTTGGTAAAAAAATCTTAAATTATTATGTTTTTGAGTAATTAAGTACTATCTTTTATTTTATTATTACAGCATTCTTAGCAACTGCATATGTACATATCTCTGCCGCTTTAATTGCACAGCTGTCGTTTGAAATTTTTCAACTCATAATTGCGAGCGAACTTCTAAATTCGCCTGAAAATAAATAAAATTGCTGTGTACACAACTGCGAAAAGTAGTATAATTAAAGTCACCAAACTGGAGCAATAAAAACATTTTTTAAATTTGCAACGAAAAATTGGTTTCAAAGCAATTTGCACCATTCTCAGCTACCGTATTCTAAAAAAATCTCATTTACTTTGTTTTTTTTTTATTTTTTGCACACATTTCCAACACACTGTCGCCCATTAGCGAGCAATCACATATTTTATTGCTGCGCTTCGTTATCTCGCTTAACTCTGGCGGCATACCCGCCTATGACTCTCCTAGAAGCTTACATAATACAAATGTCTTACAAACGCTTACGCCGAACACATACCATCATAAGAAATATTTAGCCGCTTGCACTTAACTACCAATAGCCTGCCTGCCCGCTAGCCGCCTCAGACACCACTCGCCACCACTTTACAATTGCCCACTCTAACACACCACACTAGTTACGCTCATTTGTGCCACTTGGACAACATGCTGTTGATAAATTTATTATTCAAAAAGCTGCTGTGCAAGAATTTGGCAGGCGCTGCACGTCTGATTCGCACTGTTTCGCCAAAACCAAATGGTGGCGACTTGGAACGAGTACTCAGATAGAATGTGCCGTTTTTTGGCACAGCTGGTTCACCGCCCATGAACGCTGTCGCAGTGCATTCACCTGCCGCCGTTGCCGCCGCTATTGTTGCTGCTGTTGCACCATTTGTGCAGCCACACTCCATTTGGTCCCACAGTGTACCACTGGTACTGCTGCTGCTGCCGCTGCTGCTAATATTATTGTTATAGCTGCTGCCGCCGCGACGTCTGCACTGTGCTGCACCGAAGGCGCGTGGTTGTCGCACCGTTTCCACAAAGTAATACAAGGCCGCAAAATGATCGCATGCGAAATCAAATTCTGCTGCCGTTGCATTTGGACAGTGTGGCTGTCCTAGACCCCAATTGACGAAGAATGCTGCATGAGTAAGTTTCGTGCTCGGATTGCCCAGCAGCGTGATGTCCGTGTGTATTGATTCGGTGTAGATGGCATCGTTTGGTGCCAAGCGCTTGTCTTCGCCCAGTGAGAGCTGCACCAGGCCGGCTGGGTCGAGCGCATAGATGACGCCAAAACGTTGTGGGCTAAGTAGTTTGCCAGCTAAGCCAGCTATGTGTGCTCCAGCGCTATGACCCACCATGTAAATGGATTCGTAGGCAATGCCGGCTTCACGATGTAAGAAACGCGTGAATTCCACCAATTGCTTCGCTATGTCAGATAATTGGCGGCTAATGCGTCCGTAGCTGATGTCCATTGAAATGGTACTCCAATCGAGTAGGATTACATTAAAGTTGCCCACCTCGAGGTAGGCGTCCTTAATGGCTGCGTTCGAACAGGACGTGCTCTTGCCGGTCCACCCGTGGATGGAGAGTCTGAAAGGTAGAGAGAGAATGATGGTTGCTTTGTTACAAGTTCTTGTTTAAACTAATAGGGCAATTCTTAGGGGAATCCCTTAAACTCGTAAAGTCTTAAACTGCGTAAAACTCGTAAGTTTACGAGGCTTTTATGGGAACTCCCTCTTTGTGAAAAGGTGTAAATTGGTGCGAATAGTGACTGTTTGACAGATCAACCAGGATTTTGCGAAGAATTTTTATTTCGTAGTATTTTCCATAACATCCCGCCATCTTGTCTCTATCACTCTTGGCTAAAGTACAATTAAAAATGTCAAAAATTAGCAGAAAACCTAAGTCAATACAGTTAGTGGGCGAAATTTATTTATTTTATTCGCTTATTATTTTTTTCATTATTTCATCATACATTTTAGTATAAAAATTTCGACCCCTCGGCAACACTGAAGTTTACGAGGTCGTTTGCGCATCAAATTTGCCTCGTAAATAGAGATCCATAAAAATTTTGACAGTTCTTTTACGAGGCTCGTAAATTTACGAGCTTTACGAGGCTTACGGGGCTTTTGCGAGTTTAAGGGAAGACCCCTAATGTTTTTATCATGGTTCAAAGTCTTTTGTAAGACAATTATTGAAAGGCAGTAGGCAAGTTAGTTTGGAAGATTTTGTTTATGGTGACACGAAAGTATTACATGAAAAGCTCCCTCGCCAACTTTCATGATGAAAAGCCCTTTTGAAAGAAAGCATTTGAACATGTTCCAAAATGGAGATGTATGTATGTATGTATGTCATCTTGCCCACGCTGCACCAACAGTCATTATGGCCGAGGGGAAAAAGAGTCATCGGGCAGTGGATATTTTTGTTTTTAAATTCAAAATTTTTATTTTTTTGATTTATTTATTTTTTATTTTTTAAATTTAATTTTCTTTAAATCTTATTGTTTAAAAATTATACATACTTTTAAAATCTTTTTATTTTTATTTTTGTTTACTTTAATTTAAATTTTAGATTTTATTTAAAAAAGAACAATTTTTTTTTTTAACTAAATTAAAATTTTAGAAACATGTTCTTTTCTTTTTTAATTAATTTTTTGTTGTTTAATTTTTATATTCCATAGAAAAGAAGTTTTTTATTATTTCATTTAAATATAACGGACGTATTTTAGATAATTTTTTCTTTCTTTAATATAACTTTCTTTTAATTTTTAGATTACATTGTTTTAAAAGCAAAATATTTTTTAAATTTGATTACTTCTTTAGGAGCTTTTTTGTTTTTTTTTATAGTTATTTTTTCCTTTATTAGTTTAAGTTTCAATTACTTTTTAGATTTTTAAAAATTGGTTTTCACTTAATTTATATAAATGTTTTTGTTAATTTTTTTTAAATATTTTTATATACTTTTTAAAATACTTTTATTTTATTTTTTATTAAAATATATAGATATATATATATATTATTATATATCATTTAATTTTCAGAAACTTATTTTCTTTTTTTAATTTACTACTTTTTTATTTAATTTTCTTTAGTTTTTAGAATGTATTGTTTTAAAAAGAAAAAAATACATTTTTTAATTTAATTTAATTTTAAGAAAACTTATTGCTGAAAGACAAACAGAATAACACAACAGACCTCCTCGTTAGCTGATATTTCAATTATTCCTTCGAAAGACAGAAAAGATCTTTTAAGCTAGTTGCGAGAAAGGCTTTTGTCTTTCGAAAGACGGTGGGGAGTTGAAATAATATGTATTTCAAAAGAGTAGAGATCGAAAATTGTCTTGTATCCTTTGAAATTATTGAAGGTGACCCAAAATAGAATCCTTATCTGCCTTAATTGTCATGCTCGATATTAATTTGGTAGTATCGTTTGGTTCATGCAGTACACCGGTTTGCTTACAGCAAAAGTTTTCGGCTGCACCATTAAGGCGGCTGGCGGTAAACTGATTATCCTTTAATAGTGTACGTTAAGTATTTTTTAACATCTACGCTTTTAGGCGGCAATATCCCTAAGAGACTCTCACAACTTTTTCAGTTTCAGGGAAAACCTTAAAAATGATGGTGGTACATCGAGCACTGAAAGTTTTCGCATATCTAGTGTCAGAGAACTTTAACTTAGAATTGAGGTTTGGCCAGACCGATCATCTCGTATTCTTCTGTAGAATAGTGGCCGTAGCATTACGGCGCCAAAAGTACAATGTCAAGAAAGCCACTCTGAATGCCTTGTTGGATTTCTTATTTTCTGTCAATTTCCCATAAAAATTAAAAAAATTAAAATAATTTTTTACTTAAATTGCTTTCGTGAAATTAGCTGTTGATATCTCACTCTTTTTCAATTTTTATATTTTTTGTTTTCTCTATTTTCTTTTATTTTTGTTTTCTTGAATTTTTTTGTTTTCTTAAAATTTGTTTATTCTTTGTTTTTTTTATTGAATTTAAGTTGAATAATTAATTAATTTTCTCATTTATTTTAATTCTTTATTTTCATATATTTTAATTTCTCTTAATTTTATAATTCTTTATTTTTTCATATTTTAGTTTGTTTTATTTTACATTTTTATTTATTTATAATTAATTTTTTCTATTTTGAGATCATATTATTAGTTTAATTTTTTTTCTGTGTTCTTTTTTACTTTATTTTTATTTCTTCAATTTTTTATTTTGTTTGTAAAATTGTTTTTTTACTTTATTTTTTTTTTTTAGTTAATATAGTCATGTACGGGTAGTACTAATGCTGCCTAGCACTCACGCAAACCATTTATTTATTTTGCCCGTTCATTCACTTTCTTTAAGTTACTCAAATATTTCAATTAACACAGTTCGCATTTAAAAAATTCCCTACATAAATTAAGCGCTAATGCACATGCAAATAAATACCACCCACCTGACCGGCCACTTTGCATTAAAATATGAAGTTCGTAGCACATCGCGATCGCCTGGCACCAACACTTGCGCCTTGTAGGGATTCAGTGGCGTATAGAGATCGTAACGCAGTCGCTTGTTACGCCACTCGCGCCACGAAGGATCCAGTTGAGCGCGCATTTCATTCATTAAAATCTCGCGTATGGCACTCGTCACCAAAATTTCACAGTTGCCACGCTCATAGGAGAACTTAGCACTCACCGACGCTGAAATGAAGGAAGGAGGCATATGCATCGAGGAAATGAAATTCGAGTGCACAAACTTTCGCATTTTAATTTTTGCACAATGCATTAAACATTTCACACTCACCACAAAAAACTAGAAATAACAAAGTGTAAACTTTCAGTTGTGGCAATGGCATTTTGTATATTATTTTTTTTTTATGTATTTGTATGGGAAAAATCACACCTCATTAAGCGCGCTAATAATAACAGTACGAGCGATTGTGCCACAGTTTGAAAGCCACTGTAGGGGAAGGCTTTTTTTCCTCTTTGTAACTTGCTTTCGCTTTCAATTGTTCACAATTTCTTTTTCAACTCATTGCTACAATAAAAAAAAAAAAACACTCCACGCTCCTCGCTATACTTTATTTTTTGTTGTTGCGCGCTCCTGTTTGATTCGCAATGGAAAAGTTCTTACGATTTGGCCACTACCACCACCGTTTAAGCCATTCAAGCAACCAAAGTCGTAAGCTGGCAACCGCTTCGCCACACGTTCTGACGCCAAATGCAGCGCGATCTCGGACGCAGGCTCAGTTTAAAGAACATTGCCGGCCACCGCGCCAGCGCTCGGCCAACTTAGTACATCGATTACTGCAACGCGTCTCGTACGTTGTCCGTAGTCGACTTTAGCTCACCGTTTTTTTTGCCCAATTTTGTATAATGTTTCATTTTTTGCTTTCTTGTTTTTTTTTTTTTTAGTTGTTTCCATTGTTTATCTGTAGATTTGTTTGCTGATTGGCAATTAATTCGCTTTAGCTGGCGCGAAAAGTTACAGTAAGAACTGGTAGTGGTATGTCAAAAAAGGCGGTCGGTCGGTCGGTCGGTTTGTCGCAGCATGAATCGGTTGTAAGTCAGCGTCCGCTGGCAGTGACACGCTAAGTTTTTTTTTCTACATTTCCATTCATGTGAAGTTGATTTTATCCAAATATAAGTTTACATTAGACCGCACCAGCTTACAAGCAAAAAAAAGTTCGCCGTACACCACTGAGTTTAAAGTATTTTTGTAAGGCAGGTTAGAATTTTTTTTTACAACTACATTCGGCAGTAAATTTTTTTTGAAAATACTAGTTCTACTAAAATAATCACAATAATAATTTTTAGAGAGCTTTAAAAAAATTAAAATCTGGTGGATAAGTATGGGAATGGGGTACTTGAGGTGAATGCTCTAAGATCCGACTGTAAATGCCGAAGATATGGCGAAAAATAGCAAAAAACGACCAACTCGTTCGGCAAAAAAAAAAAAAATCGAAATGGCCTTCGAATTGAAATTTATTTAAGCTTAATGATTTTTGGCGGACTTTAATTTACTGCTATTAGGATGGTTCATTACGGTGGTAGGTACTGAGATTTGGTGGGTAAGTACTAGAACGGGGTACTTGTGGTCAATGTACTTAGGAACGAAACTCCTCGAGAAAAAACATCGATATATCATGCTTTGAGATGCCGAAGATATGACGAAACGGGGAAAAACGAAGTGAAATCAAATCTTGCGATCAATTTTTAACTAACCTCTCTAGCTAGAGACTTCGAACTTTAAAATTGGCTCAGTAACCGATGACAATGCAATGTTCTGCTAATGAACTAATGCGCTAGATGGCGCGGGTGTCGAGATATTTTAATAACCCGTATTAAAAAAAAATTTCTTTTAAATTACTTGTTTCAAAATTTCCTAGCAAAAATAGTTTAAGACCGAAGTGTCTACGACTCATTTTTTGTTTCATTGTAAGGTGGTATGGTCTAATGTACATACATATGTATTTATCTTGTCTACTTTAACAGGCTTAATGAAATTAAGCAATTTTTTTTGGATGTTTCTTCTTTATGTTAAGTAGCTGTTATTTACATACCCGTTTTACTGCTCCTCAATCATAAACTCGATATTTTTTACAGTAATTATAACGGGTTTCAAAACTTTTTTTTTACCAAGGCAATCTTACATTGGTACTGCGCTCTAGCACGTCTGAGCGAGCTGTGGTCAGAGACCACATGCATTCACTCTCCGCCGTACCTGAAAGTGCTGGGTTTTATTTAGGACCAGGCGAGTTCTTGTGATGAGTTCTAAAGACACAGTAGCCCCAGTGCCCAAGTACATTAGATATGCAAAATACTCCCACTAAAGTACTAAGGTATTTAGTATTTTATTTAGACCTAGGAAAAGCTATAGCAATTAATACTTTACATTAAACTCACCTTACCTCAACTCACTTCAACTTACATAACACACCTCACTTTAATTCGCCTCATCTCAATTCACCTTAACTCACCTCATCTCAGCTAACCGAAACAATTCGCAGATAAATTTTATTTCTGAAATCCAGAGATAGCAGTATCGAAAATCCCGAATTATTCCCAAAATACCCCGGAACTGTCCCGAAAATCGAAAAGTAGTCTCAAAGGCGAGAATCGAGAAAATACTAAAAATCCCGAAGTAGGCTCGAAAATGTCGTAATAGGCCCAAAAATCGAGAAGTAGTCCGAAAGACCCGAAATTAACCACAAAATCCCGAAAATTTCAAATAAGTATAGAAAACTCCGAATAAATCTTGATGTGATAGTCCCGAAAATCGAGAAATAATCCCGAAGATCCGAAGTAGTATCGAAAATCCCGATTTTTTTTTTAAATTACATATATACTGTATTTAGTATTTCATCAAGTTGTAAGTACTAAGTACTATTGTATTGAGTTTTTAGTAAAGCCGAAATCTGTACTACTGCTTTGGTATTTACTACAACAGAGTATTTAGTAAATAAAATTTTGTCCAGCAACTTTACACTACCACAGTTCGTTGCGACTTTGTGAAAACGGGCATATATTATATTCGTACTTTGGTTTCAAATACAAACTATTTTGCATACCTTTTATTGTTTACATCTGTGCCGTTCCATTAAAGTAGCCCAGGTAGGGATAGGCCCTTTTCCCTTTAAAGCAACATTTCATTGGGTTCCCAAACAATATTTTAACGTTTAACTAGCCATAGGTGCAGTTCAAGATGCTCTTCGCGTAGAAGCTTAGTAAAAATATAAACATTTTCAAGAGAAAGTGATAATTTTTTTAGTTCAAAGACAAACCTTCTAAAGTCACTTAAGCTACTTCAATTGAACGGGCGGGCCCGAATATGTTTTCTTCCATTGCCTAATTTTAATAGCTCATACGCTTTTACTGCATATATAATTAACTTGCTGGACCACAAACATACATACATTTGTACTCTTTTTCACCTTTGATCGCACTGAAATAAAATTTGGCAACATCTGCTAGCCGTTTTTTTTTTTGTTGTTGTTTCATTATCGCGAAAACCAGTATGTTCTATGCATAAGTTTTATTTTATTTATTTTTTGCTGCTTACTTATTTACTACATACAACAGTTTACATTAGCTGAGAACTGTTCTGAATTTATTTAAGTACGAATCTGAACTAACCTTGAACAAGTACAACTGTTTTGGTTGTTATAACTTGTTCAGCACGTCTACGGCTTACTCGATTATAGTTTGGTAAATTGTTATTTTACAATCGAATTAATTAATTCTATTAAATTTAGTTTAGTTTCCACGAATTTCTTTAGAGCTTATTAGATACATTCGAGTGATTTGACTCTGTTGCGTAGTAGGCTGGTTGATATTGGAATAATTAATAATAATTAAGTATCATCGAACTTAGGGCTACAGATTGTCACTTTTCAAAAACAATCCATGATCAACCCATTTATAGGCAGACCAGCGGTAGACCCTTCTAAACCTTTCGCACTTTCGCGAAAATTCAGCAAATTTTCATCTTTTTAATCAGATTTTTTTAGAATTTTTTTGAGTATGCAGTTTTGCAGCCCATTTAATTCTTGTAAAAAAAAGTGTTTTTCATTTTCTCCATATAAAGTATTTTCGAAAACAAAATTGTTTGTATCGATGAGATTGCGTGAAAGAAAATTGCCAAAAATCAACGGTAATTTCTAGCTACTTAAAACTTGTACTTTATTATAATAAAATTGATTGCGCTACAAATCCGCATACTTAAAAAAAAATTCTAAAAAATCTGATTAAAAAGCGAAAAATTCGCATGAAAATTTGCCGAATTTTCACAAGTTTTGTTTTGTGTGTTTAAGAATTATATTTTTATGTTTTGTGTTGTAGAATGTACCATATTTTTATACAAAATTGGCGGAAAAAATATTAGAATGTGAAAAATTTGCTGTGCCAATACTTTGTTTCGGCAGTGTATGTACATTAATGGGTTGAAGTTAACGCTTGTAATGTTCCTGAACTCTTTGGCATTATGTTATGTTGTTATCTTATTTTGTTTCTACTATGTTATGTTGTGGCTATGTTATTTTATGTTATGTTATGCTATGCTATGTCAGCTTATGTTTTGTTATATTATATTACGTTATACAAATTATTTAATTTGATTTTGTTTTTAATACGATTTAACTGGTAGCATTTGCAACTCTTAATGGCTTTTGGATCGATGTCAATTTGCCACCAATAATAAATCTTGTAATTTTGTATAGAGTAATAGCTGCTGAGCCTCATTGTGTTCTCAACAGAGGGAAGACAGCTTGGCAGCTACGAGTAAGCACCAAACTCTCGTGTTTGAGTGTTGAATTTTTATTGGAACACCTTAAAATTTTTGAAAATTTAAGCTTCATAGTTTTAGTTTAGGTTCAATTCATTAGTGTTTTTTTTTTGAATTTTTCCAAAAAAAAAATTTTACTGATATTGTTTGTTGAAGCGTAGTGTCAGCATTCTTCAACTCACAAACGGTTTACGTCACAAATTTACAATTGCTTTCCTAATTTAATACATACAGACTTTTTAGCTGCTGTTATTTTTATTCTTTAGTAGCTTTTTGAGTTGTTTTTTTTTTTTTATGATAGTATCTTTTAGTAGACTTTTTTTATTGAATTACATTTCGAAACTCATCATTAATGCAAAGTGCAACAGCGAATAGCCTTCTGCTGTCGCAACCATTTTATTGATGGCTCAGAGTTGCAATAAAATATATGGCATGTCTTTTATTTAAATACACACATGCGAGGATATACATATGTATGTATATTAGGGTGATCACAAGAAAAAACAACTACTTAACGAATTTATGGCCTTAAAGTACCTATTTACTGAGAAGAAAATTCTTCCATTTGAAGAATGTTTATTCTAATTTTAAAAGATGTCGATGGGCATTTGAAATTTTCCATGTAAAGATTTTCTTTAATTAAAAATGAACCGTTTGAGATGAAAAAATTTCATATTTTTGTAGGGCGTTAAATTCTCTAAAAAATAACCCAAATTATGCCAATATTATGTGAGCAAATACTTCTCAGTAAATAGATCCTTTTAAAGCTATAAATTCGGTAGATTACTTTTTTCTTGGATCACGCTAATGTGTATATAGTATGCAATATATATTATACATATGTAAATATATGTATGTACCTTAGGGTGGTCCAAAAACAGTAAAGTCGGAACTGTAATGCTCTCACCCCTAGGACTCCACTTTCTTCCACAACTTTGGGCGCTTTGAGCGACCTCTAAATATTTTTT